AGAAAGCTTTCAAAGTGAACACTGAGATAGAGAGGGAATGGAGAATTTGAGCATGTTCAGCTTGCTGTGATAACTTCTCCGCCCTCCCTCCAAAAATCACCAGTTACTGGGTAATTTGGTCCTGAACCAGTGGGGAGCATGGTTCTGCGCGCACAGCATACAAAGTTTCCTGAAAACAACTTCTGTGTAGATGTGGCTACAAAGAAGATTCCTGCTGCCATAATTCTGGAGCCCTTTCCTGCTGTTTCCTTATTGGATAGTCCAGGCATCTTCTTCCTCCAATCATGTGTTGTGTGTGTGTGTGTGTGTGAGTGAGAGAGAGAGAGAGAGAGAGAGAGAGAGAGAGAGAGATCTGTAAAACCATTTACTTATTACACTAGTGATCTTCCACTGTTAAAAATTAAGAGATTCATTGCTATAGAAAATTTGGGGCTTCTCAGACACAATCTCTTTTTTATCTAAATTGAGCCCGTTTCCAATTAATTTCACTCTCCATTCTAACCCCAATCAGTAATTTTCTGCCTCCTCTTCTGTCATAAATGCTCTAATCAAATGTATAGTTTTTATTCTTTTCAAAGAGAACTATCTATGTATGTATCTATATGTAACTGAATATATTTTCATTCAAATACAATAAAAAAAAATCTCCCTATTTTGTGTAGTTGGTGTTTTTTTTAAAAAATTGCCCTTTAATTATGAAATCAAAATATATTAAAGCTTATATAAATGTATTGATATAAATGTATAACAAACCCCAAAGGGGAAACAATCAATTAAAAATGGTTACATTTGTCAATATCTAAATCGTATTTCATTTTCACAAAATGAATAAAATGGTGACATTATTATTATTTTATTCTTCATGTCTTAACTGGGAGTAAGCCCCACTGAAAACAATGAGATTTCTTTCTGAATAGACACTTCTTCGATTGCATTGCAAAGTGCCTAACAATTTCTAAGCCCTGTGCTGATATTAAAAGATAAGACATTCCATGTCTGTGAGCTCAAAGTCTAATAAACAAGATGAAATGGGATTGGGGAAGGAGAGCAAGCATGTGAGCACCCGTCCCTTCACTAACCAATAGATGAGTCCTAGCTGGTCTCCCTTTTGCTTCTTAATATGAATTTAATGAATATGTATGTATGTATGAATTGTTTTGCTGATTGTGTTTTGTTTGGTTTGCCGCCCTGGCTCCTTTGGGAAGAATGGTAGGACAGAAATTGAATAAATAGATAAATAAAATAAATAACGTTCTTCCTCGGACGTAGCAGAGGCCAAAGTTTGCCTCCTGCTATCTCTGTAGTGAAGCCGAAAAATCACTCTGTCTTTTAAAAATTCTTATACTGTATTTGGTTAACTGCATCATTTCTGCTACATTCCAAATCTTGGAACTAACGGGATGCAGTATTGAGTGTGTTGCAGTATTGCATTGCTAGCCCGCACCTCTGATTAAGATTGATTCTACAGTGGCTGGGAAGGGACTTGAAGCATTTCGCCCCTTGCTACAGTGCTGTTGGAAAGCCTCCCCTGACTGCCCTTTTTTCACTGAGAGGAAGTGTTGAAGGAAAAGTAGCCCCGTGACAGGTCAGGTGTCTGTCCTCTGAGGTTGATTCCCTGTCCCCAACCCAACCCAGCCCGCACTGTGAATTTTCACGATCCCAACCTGTGTAATATTTATTACCATACTAAAATAGAAAATGAGAACCAACAGCATGGATATTTTCGTATTATGCTTGCAAACCTATCATGTAGAATCATGTAGCATATTGCTTACCGATAAGCAATATCTGAGTGTGATTCAAACAACCCAGCTTAACAAATTGCAAGGTGTATGCATCTTTATTTTTTCCTTTTCTTAAAGATTGCCAAAAACAATATATGTCCTTTGAAGCTCAGCTGTGTTTAATACGAAGGGTGATATATTTGAGTGTTCATAAATACTGCTAAGGTTAATTCAAACATTTCTTTGTCGTTGTTCTGCTCTGTTAAGGTTTTTGAAATTCTGGGGTAGTCAATACTCCCACCTACAGGTCTCCTTTGGGGAAAAGACATGCAACCCTTACTTTTAGGTTGCATAGGATGTTCCCATATAAATGTTTATTGCAGGATCAATGCTCCATGTTTACATTGTTTTTTTCACAGTGCCCGCACAATCCTGACATCAAAATGTCAGCCTGCATTCTCCCCACATGCCCGAAAATCTGATGTTAAAAAAAAATCTGCTGCCAAAGCCCTGTTTGCAATATCTGAATATTTGATATATACCCATTGCCAAAGATCTGTTTGTGATATTTGCAGTATTAAAACCCTCTCTCTTTAGATTAATTTGGTTTTAATAATTTTCTTTTTGAAGTCTCTTTCTGGAAATACCTGTAATGAGTATGGGTTGCTCGTGCGTAAGTTGCCGCCTCTCCTGGCTATGTTGCCTTGTTAAACCTTTCTGTCTGGACAGCCCTTCACTTCGTGGCTGCCTCAGTCGCTAGCAGAATCCGTCAGTGGGTGTTTCTTAAACCTTTTCCAACATAAAAGTTGTTTGACGCCAAGTCTCCTCCTACTCTCCCTGCACGGAAGCCTTCTGCGCAGGGAGGGCGTGGGTAGCGGAGGACCCGTGCTCTCCCCGCTGGTGTCCGGTGAAGAGTCCTGGAGCCCTCTCGCCGATTCCCCCATCTGCCCCCCTTTATCCCTGGTGTTGCGCTGATTTGCTTCCCCATCTGCTGAGCTGCCTCTCTCCCTGCTGGGCCCTTCTCCAGCATCATTTGAGAGCCTTCCCTCCGCCTCTAGCTCCGATGTCAGTTCCCTGACAATACCCATATTCTTCTTTTCAGAAGACATCCATAAAAATTGTAGAGAATTTTGTATTTTAAAATGTATATTTGACAAAGTTTAGTTATAATAGCAAATGTAATAAACATGTTTTTAAAAATAAAATCTGTACTGATTCCCCAGATAATCCCCACACTAGTGGGAAATTAGCCTTTATTTAGGGTTGCCATGTGTTCTCTTTTTCCAGGACACATCCTCTTTTTAGTGGTAAAATCTGAGACAAAATGTGTTTATTTGCTCTGAATGACTGTCACAGCTTTCTCTTTATTGCTCTTCAAAATATGGCAACCCTATTTAAATAGGATATGGGTTGCACTCATCACCATTTAAAAATCATTACTGTTATGAATGTGTATAGACAAGCATGGAAGCTGTTGCAAGAGGGGTGTTTGTGGAATGAATTATTCTAGGAGAGAAGCAGCACTAACTAATCCCATTTCCAAATGAGAGACAAGCTGGTAGATGAAGTCTTTTACTTACTCTCCAAGATGACATACAGCACAAACCTAACCATGCCTACTCAGGAGTGAATTTAATGGTGCTTCCTCCCAGGTAAGTGGGGTTAGGGTTGTAGTCTTGCTCATCTTTCACGCACCCCTTTCATGCACTCCTGATTTAAAACACAGTACTTGTTTGCAGTTTTTTATTATTATTAAAGATTTTCTTGTTTTACAAAAGTGTTTGCAATGTCTTTCTCGCATTCCCCCCCCCCCCATGTAACATTTTTACAAATAAGTTTCATTTCTTGAGACATTGGGAAGAAAAGGGGGAAAGAGGTGGAGGGGGGAAAGATGGGTGGGGGTGGGGTCGGGTGACGATGAATGAATGAATTTATTAATACGGTCACAGACCAGCGCCAACACACACAACATCACAGATCATAAAAAATATATATAAAAAATACAAAGGGCAATATAAGTATAACAAGCATTTAAATATAAAAATTAAAATTAATTATTATTAATTAAAAAATTAAAATTAATTATTAGCATGCCCCCTGCTATCAACACTTGGGGGTTTGGTCACCATGAGATACCACTTGCTTCCTGCGACTAATTGCAGCCGCACAGAATTTGGCTACATTTAATGTAGTCTTGGGATTCTTGTCCTCTAGCAGCGGTTCCAAACCATGGTGTTCCGACTCCTTCCCGGACTTCCGCAAAACAGGAGCAATAAAAGTCGAACGTATGTCCTCATAAAGACGACAACGCAACAGTACATGTGCAGCAGTCTCAACCTCCAACGAGCCACAGGGGCAGACCCGCGCTGCGTATGGTTTACCCTCAAATCTGCCCATTGACGATGTTTCTATTTTACTTACTATATGTAGGATTTGGTGTCAGCGTTGCTTGTGCAGGTTCTTTGTTGCTCGCTTGTGTTCCTTTGGTGGTGAGAGAGGTTGGGGTTGGCCTGGGGTGTGGTTGTTCATTTGTGGTTGGCTGTGGTGGTCTTTGTTTTCATGTGTGAGTGGGGTGGGTGGGTGTTTTGGATCAGGTTAGCCATATTGATTTGTATGCTGTTGGTGGGTTTTTGTCGTTGTCTTGTTGGGCTATGTATGTGATAAAGGGGAGCCATACTGGGGTGAAGGCATCTTCTATTTGTCCCCGTGTCAGTTTCAGTTTATTGGTTAATTTTTCTAGTAGGGCTGTTTCCCCATACAATTTGGTACCATTGGTCTATGCTTACTCCTGACAGGTCTCTCCAGTGCCTGGCTATGATGCTTCTGGCTGCTGAAAGTAGGTGGGTTATGAGTTCTTTGTGGTGTAAGTGGGCATTATTGTCTTACAAGATGTTTATAAGGTCAATTCTGGGGTGATTTCTAATACTTGCTTGGTTATATTACTTATTTCTTGTGTGGTTGTTGTCCAGAATAGTTGGATTTTGGGACACTCCCACCACACAGTACTTGTGAAGTTCTACACGTCGTGAGCAAAAGTTCCTTTGCAAGGGGTCAAATTATATTTCCAATTAGGCAAATGAACCTGTAACATGCCATTAATCTTTTTTCTTTTTTATTACTCCCAGAACCCTTTTTCACATGAATAAAGATTGAAGACAGCTCTGTCCTACAAAGGGCCTTTTGGATGATATTTCTGCATTCAAAACAGGATCTGTAGCACTCGTCGAAAGTCAACTGCAAAATGGTTCCGAAATGGTTGAGCTATAAAGAAATCACTCTTAGCTCAGTCGCTAGAGCGTGAGACTCGTAATCCCAGGGTTGTAGGTTGGAGCACCACGTTGGGCAAAAGATTCCTGCATTTGCCAGAAGTTGAACCAGTTGGCCCTTGGGATCCCTTCCAACTCTACGATTCTAATTTCTTACCTTATGAATATGTATATGCAGAGGGGAATTCTGTGCTCTTATTATTGTTCCATCCCCACAAGCCTTTCCATCCCCACAAGCCAATTCCCCCGCCCCACCCCTCGTGCTGTTCTGAGGTTTGTCTGACTTTCCAGAACAGATGTACCAAAGTGGAGGTCGTCTTATATAAGCAAGTGTGGTGTAGTGGTTAAGAGCAGTGGATTCGTAATCTGGTGAACCGGGTTCGCTTCCCCACTCCTCCACATGCAGCTGCTGGGTGACCTTGGGCTAGTCACACTTCCTTGAAGTCTCTCAGCCCCACTCACCTCACAGAGTGTTTGTTGTGGGGGAGGAAGGGAAAGGAGAATGTTAGCCACTTTGAGACTCCTTCGGGTAGTGATAAAGCGGGATATCAAATCCAAACTCTTCTTATACATGGATACTACATAGGGTGGACGTTTGATTGGTTGCTGGCACGGCTGTCGGCAGCTATTGTGCGTGTTCTTGGTTGCTGCGTCAATGGGTGGTGTTGATTGGCTGACGCTCTGGCAGTTGGGCGGGCAATTGGTGGCTTCTGCCGGCAACGGGACAGATGGGAGGTGGATTTTGCAACGTATGCAGGTGATTTTCGGCAATCCCCCCTAAAAAAACCTCAACCCTGGGTAAGGTAAAGGTAAAGGGACCCCTGACCATTAGGTGCAGTCGTGGCCAACTCTGGGGTTGCGGCACTCATCTCGCTTTATTGGCCGAGGGAGCCGGTGTACAGCTTCTGGGTCATGTGGCCAGCATGACTAAGCCGCTTCTGGCGAACCAGAGCAGCACACGGAAACGCCGTTTACCTTCCCGCCGGAGTGGTACCTATTTATCTACTTGCACTTTGATGTGCTTTCGAACTGCTAGGTTGGCAGGAGCTGGGACCGAGCAACGGGAGCTCACTCTGTATTGGGGATTCGAACTGTCGACTTTCTGATCGGCAAGCCCTAGGCTCTGTGGTTTAGACCACAGCGCCACCCGCGTCCCTTCAACCATGGGTAATCCCCTCTAAAAAAGCTCAACAACTCTATGCCATCTCCCCCCATTTTCTTAAATTTGGGGCGTCTTACATGGGGGCGTCTTATAGACAGAAAAGTACAGTAAATACAGGTGGCATGTGAGTGGATGAGAGGGGTGGGGAAACCCAATTTCACTTGTGGGAGCCCTTGCCCTGCCTTCTTCTAGCATGCTGGATTAGCTGAATCTGAGCCATATTCTTGTTTAGGTAACGATCTGTGCTCCGATTCTCTTTCCTTTGTTTATCAAGGCAAATTGCCAACAACAGCGCGTGTTGAAAAGAAAATTACAACATTTTAAATGTTGCGAGTACAGTTAATGAATGGGAAGTAAACCACACCATGGGAATACACCAGTGTTCTTGCGTGGGCCTCCCCTTCAGTCAAATCGAGTTTTTGTGCAACAACTTTCTGGTGGGCTGCGGCCCCTCTTAATTTACTGCGGCCCCTCTTAATTTATTCCAAAGTGAAATCCCCCCCCCCCCATCTCATTGCTACTTTGCATTCTGACTTTAAACATGGGATAGTTCCAAGCCAGGCGACAGGTTTTAAAAAATAAAAAATAAAAATTCCACTGCGTGCCACATGTGAAGTGGCGTGAGCTGTAGTGGCAAGGTGCTTGTGCATGATTATCCGGTAAAACGTTGGCTCTTTGAAGTTTAAGGTTCCTGTGACATGAGCCAGCTTTCAGAGGTGTGCAGTTTTTTGAAGTAGGGGGTTTTGTTTACTTGTCGTTTGCTTTATTTGGGGAGGAAAGCCAACGTTTTTGCCTGTAAAATGTGTAAGGCTTAAGCATTGGTGTTAATAGAATTGCAGCTCTGTTTCTTTAAATGCAAACACTTTCAAAGATCAGCCGGCGCCTGAAGTTTGGTTGCAGTCTGGCTCTCCCAAACAGGATGAATGGGGGGAAAAACTCATAATTAAAGTATATCAAGGTGTCAAATGTCAGTTCCCTAGAAATGGTTCCTATGGACAGCTTTTCTCTTACACCATTTTCCATATCAAAGAAGAGTTACCCTGAGATGTGTTCGGGTGAGCAAGCATTTACTAACGGTGGCAACAGAAACATGCCCCACATTGCAGAAGGATTGTATTGAAAGGGGCCACTGAGTTTTGGTCTGATAAACCTCTTTTAAATCTGAGTTAGTTTTAGCTGTATTGTAACAGACCCTCCAAGTCTCCCTATTCTCCAGTGACATTCCCAGATTTACAGAAGCCGTCCCGGTTTCTTATTCGATCCCAAACTGTCCCCTTTTCCTTAGGATGTCCCTGTTTTCAACAGAGAAATGTTGGAGGCTATGGAATTATCTGACCCCCTAAGTAAAGGAGATAAGTAACCATACAACCTTTAGAAGACAGGAAGTCGTTTTTTAAAAGTTTTATGTTTTTATATATGTTAGAAACCTCCTAGAGTGGCAGGGACAACCCAATCAGATTGGCAGAATATAAATATAATTATTATGATTAAATAGGACACCCCTATTTTCATCACAGGGACACAGGTGGCGCTGTGGGTTAAACCACAGAGCCTAGGACTTGCCGATCAGAAGGTCAGCGGTTCGAATCCCCGTGACAGGGTGAGCTCCCGTTGCTCGGTCCCAGCTCCTGCCAACCTAGCAGTTTGAAAGCACGTCAAAGTGCAAGTAGATAAATAGGAACCGCTCCAGCGGGAAGATAAACGGCGTTTCCGTGCACTGCTCTGGTTCACCAGAAGTGGCTTAGTCATGCTGGCCACATGACCTGGAAGCTGTCTGCGGACAAACGCCGGCTCCCTCTGCCCATAGAGCGAGATGAGCACCGCAACCCCAGAGTCGGTCACGACTGGACCTAATGGTCAGGGGTCCCTTTACCTTTTATTTTCATCAGAGAAATATTGGAGGGTATGTTGCAAATGCATTGCATTGATGGTATGCTACACATAATAGTTATTCCGTAACTTACAAGTAAAACAAGTAATACACATAATACAGTTATGTCATAACTTACAAGTAAGTTATGAAATAAATTATGAAACAAATAAGCATATTATTGTCACCTTCACTGAATCAATATTGCTTTCAAAGCACTGAATCATAATTGCTTTCAAGGTAATGGGTAAAGTCCATCCAGCTTGATTCTACGCATATTTATTCAGAAGCACCACTATATAAAAATGGGCGTTGGGCTGCAGTTCTATACATTTACCTCGGGGCAAGCCCAGGTAAGACAGTGAGACTTACTTCTTAGTTTTCATGTACAGTGGTACCTCGGGTTAAGTACTTAATTCGTTCTGGAGGTCCGTACTTAACCCGAAACTGTTCTTAACCTGAAGCACCACTTTAGCTAATGGGGCCTCCTGCTGCCGCTGCGCCGCCACTGCACGATTTCTGTTCTCATCCTGAAGCAAAGTTCTTAACCCGAGGTACTATTTCTGGGTTAGTGGAGTCTGTAACCTGAAGCGTATGTAACCTGAAGCGTATGTAACCCGAGGTACCACTGTATAGCACTGCATTGTTGCAAAAAAGTGTGTGCACAGGATTACAAGCTTTGTGGGTGGAGCACAATTAAGGACTACCTCCTTCCCTCTTTTTTGTTTAAGTCAACCTTCTAAATAACACATTTCGTGACAGAGATTTGGATATCAAAAACATATAAAGATTTTCAGTGGCTGCTCTATAGCATCCTTCCCAGGCCTGAAGCTTTGGCATCTTTCTGCAATGCTGAAAATCATTGGGATTTTATATTAACAGTTGGAGTCAAAGCAGTAACGGCTTCATGAAATGTTGAGCTTCTCTTTCTTTGGCCTCTACTTCCTTCATCCATGTTTTTCTTCACAACCTACTGTGCATCTGGTTCTTCTCCTACTATCCTTGGCCCTGCTTAGACTGCCATTTCTTTTTTCCGGTCATCCTTGCCTCCCTTCTTCCCTAATATATATTTTCTTGCCTCCATCTCTTTCCTCGTTGACCCCTCACCTTGGTCCACACACTGGCCTGGTTCACACATAACACTAAGTCAAAGCCGTGGTTAAGGTCCACGTGGGCACCAAGCAAGAAATGGTGGCCACTTTGCTACTCCACGGTCCTGCTGCTGTATTATAAGGAAGTAAGGCATGGTTAGTGGTTACACTGGCTCCCAGTACGTTTCCGAGCACAATTCAAAGTGTTGGTGCTGACCTTTAAAGCCGTAAACGGCCTCAGTCCAGTATATCTGAAGGAGCGTTTCCACCCCCATCGTTCTACCGGACACTGAGGTCCAGCACCGAGGGCCTTCTGGCAGTTCCCTCACTGCGAGAAGCCAAGTTACAGGGAACCAGGCAGAGGGCCTTCTCGGTAGTGGCGCCCTCCCTGTGGAATGCCCTCCCACCAGATGTCAAAGAGAACAACAACTACCAGACTTTTAGAAGACATCTGAAGGCAGCCCTGTTTAGGAAAGCTTTTAATGTTTGTATTACAGTATTTTAATATTATTATTATTTTTGGAAGCCGCCCAGAGTGGCTGGGGAATAAATAATATATTATTATTATTATTATTATTATTATTATTATTATTTATTATATAGTGTTGTGTCTGAACCAGACTCACGGTTCCTCTCACTCCAAACAAACCATGAGTTGCAGCAAAGGCTTATTCTAGGCTTAGTGCTCGACGGGGTGTGTGAAGCAAACGCTGAGCTTGGCAACACTAAGCTAAACCACAGGTTTCCCATCAGTAAGACTGAGTACCCACATGCTTTTTCACTCATGTTTAGCCATGGTTTGGCTTAGTAGTACATGCAAACGGGGGCATTGTTCCTCCTTGTCCACCCTCCCCTTCAAGCCCTCCTGCTCTATTTGGCAGTAGACTCTCCTGCCCTTCTAGGATGTTACCCCCTCGCATGCATGCTCCCCTGCGGAGGGTTATGCCACTGTTTTAGAA